CACACCCTAATAAAAATAGATTGTTATATTTCACCAATCCATATAGTTGGTTATTTTCGAATAATTAATCAATTATATTTATTGACATGTGATCTTTAAAAATATTTTCGTGTCATTTTGACAAATTAATTAATAATTTCAAATTATTCTGATCAATAAGACTTTAATTATATTGATTTATACTCTTCTATATATAAAAAACATTTTGATCAAAAGAGAATAGAGTATGTGTGTGGGCTAATAAAAGATTTACACCTACACCCACACCCTACTTCTATTGTGTTTTTTTCTATAAAGTTGCATTAGACTGTATAATTACTTCCATTTTTGGCTCAAGTTTTTCGTACTCAGAGCAGTAAAATATTGTTCGCTTAGTGAAAGATCAAAAAAAGAATGAGGTCATGGTTATGTATACAAGGTACAGTGAAAAGAGACTCATTGGGAGTGTTTTCGTCTCAATTCATAAAAGAGTCATAGTTACCCGAAAGATAACTCGAAGCCATTTTCAGATATTACAGGTCACCAGAAATGAACAAACAAATTTTTGTAGTGAAAAATACGTCAAATATCTGAACACAGTCATATACTTCGGACCTCTACAAGGAAAAGAATCAAAACATCTTTATATATTGATTTAAAATTGCAGTTGTGAAATTACATTGACCGGCAGAACAAGACATCGTGACGCAATTACACACAGTTACAGTGGCAGAACAGAACAAAATAGAAAAAGGAGTGCACAGCACTACTTGGGCAGGAAATAGGTTTACCAGTCATCTATTGAAATTTTTAATCTGAATTTTTTTGAACGGAGAATATATATTGAGTGAAATTAATAAAATTTTATAAAACTTGATTAATAGTTTTGCTGACAAAGACTCCAAATTTCTCGTACGTTTGTCGACATTTTTAATCAATGACTTACAGATTTAGATGTCTCTACCAAAAAAAATATTTTGTCAAATTCGGTAAAGGTGGGGTGTGTGGGTGTGGATGTGGGTGTAGGTGTGGGCGTGGGTGTGGCAGTGGCTGTGGTTATGGGTATGGATCTTTGCAACGATACGCATACCCCACACCCACCCCACCCACACCCACACCCACACTCACACCCACACACCCACACCCACACCCACACCCACCCACACCCATCCACACCCACACCCACCCACTCCAGACCCACACACACCCGCACCCACACCCCACACCCTAATGGACGTCTTTCGCACCTTCACTCTTAAGATGAGAATGGAATGAAGCATTGCTCTTTGCAATGATTTCATCGAACGAAAATTCGAATAAACACCACTTTTCCTTCTGCCTATATTTACTTTATTTCAGCCATCGCTTGATGCAGGAAGAAAGCAAAATATTCGAGTATGATGCGTTTATTTTGTAAGCAATTATAAAAGAAATGAAAAGGAATCAATAAGTGGGTATTTTTGTTTACGCTAGCAAGTCAAGCAGGCAGTGTGTTTTTTACTTTTTTTTTTCTGTTATAGAAATCCATCACAAGTGAATAAATATCGTCCGTTGGTATTTTGACTAACGTCACATAGCTTTTTGTATTATTGATCAATATTTGACCTTTTCTTTTCATTATGAATGATGAACTACATAAAACTCTATATTGTTTCGGATTACTAATTAATCAACTACAAACTTTGCAGGTAAAATAATTTTTTTTCAATAAAAAGTAATTTGTAATCCTGAAGTCTTTCGAAATAGGAGATATTACCTAAGACTATTGTTGGCTTCTAAGATAGTCAGTTTCTATTATTCAGGTAATTGAAACATCATAGTTGGAGCTTTTATGAAACAACATATTTTTCCAACAATATACAAAAAAAACAAAAAGACCCAAAATAGAAACCTAAGAAACTTCGCACAATTATAAAATTAATGAAGAAAATGATGATACTCGTATAGAAGTAACTTTTTGTCGAGCCCAGATCCGGAATAGCACAGACCTAATTTTCCTTATGCGTGATATCGGCGAAAATAAATCATAGTTTAAATATTGCTAGTTGCATTTTTCCTCTTGTATTATAAAATAAATAACAAAGAATGGTTGATGATGATTTCAGTGGTTTAAACAAGTGACGAGATTCAATTCGAAGTGTAGATTCGATTGGACCACATTGAATCATGATGAAACACAGCACCATTCCTGATAAAACCCCATCCAATCTAATAGAGTTTGTATCTGAATTTGACTTGCATCGGACCCGAACGTTCAGGTTCGGTTTCCTAGATCATGTTTGGGGTCATTTTTAGTAAGCTGGTAAGAAGGGTTAGATATCATGCAAAAGCGAAAGAGTTACAGACTTCATAACAATCATTCTCAAGTAGTAAAAGTAATTGATCCAAAGTTTGAGAATCTGCAAAAATAATAAAAGTGAACTATATTATGGCGATAGGTGTGCGGAAGTGTTTCTAAAACATACTCACACTCACACTGTTAAAGAAATTGGTGAACACGAGTTTTTCTATGATAGGAATAGGTGCATTTAGAAATCAACTAAGTTTTCTGTAGGTTGAACAATTTAGCTGGTTCACTAGAAACAGTAGTCTTGTGGTAGTGTCTATATATGACGTCTCACGAGCGCACTATTGTGTTTCGGTTTTACGAAATTGTGTCAACAAGCAGGAAGCGGCGCTTAGAAGTTTTGCTGAGCCTTCAAAGGGCGAAAATTCATAGGATTGTTGGGTGAGATGCTGAAAAGTATATTGGAATACAAGCTAATTGAAAGTGTTGGACCAGAAAGTCACATTCGCAATCTAACATTTTTATAAGATTTCACTTCCATCACTGCGATCACCGTAGATAAAACCCTCTGTTTAGGTCTGAAAGTCAACCTCCTAACCCGAACTGGGCTGTCAAAGGAAGTGCGCTCCGATACTATCAGTAATGTGACAACACCCATCATAGGTTAGACACACTTACTCAGTACAAGCTCACAATGCTCATGTCTAGCGAAAAGTCACAAAAAGTGCAAATTATTGAGCCGCTTCTACTATTCTGTCAACATATGTGCAATATGGTATCTTTATACTTCTACAGCAGTTCTGTGAAATTGTAACCGAGCAGTCAGCATTTTGCCTTTCCATTTAATATAAATTTATCATCTTAGAAAATTGAATGGTACCAATTGAGAGCCCTAGGCTGATGCGCAATAGTATTTTACAGTTCAAGGTATTTCACTATGGTAGGACTTCAGAATCCGAAGGCACCCTCTATAATATGACTTCATGACCTAAGAGCGGCTCTCTATAGCGTGATTTGAGGACCCTAGGGCACCCGTCTAGAGCAAGACTTGAGTACTGGAGGATGCTTTTCTATTGCACGCCTCGAGGACCGAAAGGTACTTTCTCGACACTCCCTTGAGAATCTAAGCGTACCGATCAGTAGAACTTTAGGAACTATCTTGAGAGTGTGGGTATGAGTGCGGGTGTGGGTGTGGATGTAGAACTAAAAGAAAAATAACCACGCTCTGCATCCACACCTACCCACACCCACACACACCCAGACCCTGAATCTTTGTAACCGAAAAATGTCAGAAATGGATTTAATAAGTTCCTGTCAGATCGCATTCCCAGTTCCTACCAGAAATGACCGACATTTGACCTTCGAAAATCACCAAATTTCACAGGACCTTTGTATCGAAAATTGCCACCAAATATTAAACCGCAAGTCTTATCGGGGTCAGCACAACAATCCGAGAGACTCATAACGATCTTGATTTTTTATTGTATTCATTTTAGTCTGAAAAATACGTCCTTATGACTTGGTTCGAGAACTAGGATCTTCGTCGGTTCTAGTTATGTCGCTGCAGAAATATAATTAGACTAAAACATTACACTAGAATTCATTTCTATATGTATATTGACTTCAGCGAAACAAAACGGTGAATATATGATGAACACTAGTTTCTGTTGGAAACTGCCAAAACTGTCTACCTTACACCAAATGTTAATGGAAACTTTTTTGATATTTGTAGACAGTACCCTTTCAAGCTTATGTTCTGTATATAGTACAGAAGAATGTCCTTCTTATCCGCAATCCTGGCATAGAGAGGTATTCTTAGTACATCGAGTCCTGAATATTTCCAAGTCAACTTTTGGCTACTCTGCGAAACAAGTGGAAATCCTGCGGGATAATTCTATACAGTGTGCTTACTTTAGAATGCATCCACTAAATATGTCCTAGAATTTACTACTGAGGTTTCTGAAGGAACTTCCTGTTATAGATCATGAGTCTAGCGATATCATTCTGCAGTTGGACATGACGTCCTCTTGAGTGTGAGTGTATGCATGATCAGAACACTCACGCCCACACGCGAATAGGGTGTAGGTGGAAGTACTGCCTTCAACCATACCCACACCCTTCATTTAACTAGACTTCAAAGTAGAAGTTATGCATTCTCCATCCATTAATATTTGTTGTCTTAAATTTTAAGATAATAAAATATTTGTTGACTTAAACCAAAAGACAAACAAATAATTTCTTTATGGCTACTTCTACAAACACAAAATCAAAAAATTCTTTAAAATGTGTTGAATGGATGTGGCAATCGAATACAGATCCATTGTCATCAACTGAGCCAGCAGAATGGAGTCATTACTCTGATGTAGAAAATTTAATTATTGAACGTGCATATACAAATGGACAAGAGCGAGCAATTTTAGATGATTATTATATTGATTTCAAAGCAAATAGACAAATATCAAATACAGATAATGATAAGCAAAGACCTATAAAACGAATAGTTCGTAATAGAGAAGATAAACATTTACGAGAAGAACGTTTTGTAGATCTTCCTGTTACTATAGGACGTTCCTATGGTGGTGAATACGGTTGGGTATCACCATTTGTTATTGAAGTCAGAAGAGATCTAGAACTTGAACCAGAAGAATTACCATAAAAAAAACCAGATTTAATTCCAATTCTGGTTGAAAAGGCTGCTGAAGGTATTATTAAAGAAGGTAAACATATTGGAAAAGAACAACAAGCTAAAGAATTGGCAAATATGCTTCAAGAACAAAAAGATAACGAAATCGAACAAGTATGGCAATGCTGCGCTTATATATATTCATTAGAAAGTTTTCTTTATAAAACTTTAAATGCAACAATGAGACTGATTGGAGATAAAGATCATGAGCATGTATGGAGAAGTAAAATTCGTACATTGGGACCATTTTGTTTGTTACTATGGGATGATCCATTTAATAAAAAAGCAAAAATAAAGAAAACGCTTTATCGAGGAGCATATCTCAATGGTGAACAAATTGCTAAATATAAATTAATGAGCAAAAACTCCTACAATTATGGTTCATTTCAAGCATTTACATCATGTAGTCGTAATCGTAAAAAAGCAGAAAATTTTGGAAATGCTTTATTTATTATGGAAATTGTTGTTGCTTTTACTGCGGATCTTGCTGATGTATCTGAATATCCTGAAGAAGAAGAAGAACTTATTACACCAGGTGTTTCTTTTTGGGTTACAAAAGTTGAATTGGATCGAAAGATAAATAAACATTTAATTTACTTAAGACTAAGACAACGCTTCTCGGGTAAGTAACAAAAAATGATTTCTTGTCTTCGTTAATCATACTCTTACTTCTGATAAATCATATAAGACTACGCAATGAGTTGAAATGATCACAAAATGAAGAAAAAGATGATTCTTCATGAAATTCAAACTGCATATTAACTGCTATCCGAGCAGATGTCCTAAACTTGTTAGACTAGAAGAGATATCTAATTTTGGCCTTATGTACTTCTTCTCACTTCCTTCCATTCGATGGTATCTTTCTTCTTTTCCTTCTGGTTTCATATTTTTTTACTATGAACATCAGTAGTGTCAGCACGTAGTCGAAACAGTTAATAAGGTTTATGATGTTAGTAATAATCTTAATGAATCTAGATCAGCATTTTTAAGAAATCTTCTCTGTACTATCCGATTCGAATAAATTCTATTGAAAGTTCACGGAAACTCATCAACTTCTAACCTAACTTATAATGATTTAGCAAAATCCATTGGATTATTTTCCTATGAACGGAAAATAGGAGATACTGTCTCTGAGATAACTATAATTTATACATTTTCTAGTGGACAACGAATTTCTAATAAATTCGATTTGTTCAATAGAGTTGAAATAAAGCTCTAGTTCCAAACCAAAATTTGTCTCTTTAATAACAGCTCAACATTTGAATATTATAACTTATGTAAGCAAGTCCTCTTAAGTAGTTGAATATAGTTTTATTTTGAACTTTATTTTTGTGTATAGTACACAAAAAATGTTTTCTATGAGTACAGATAAAGCAAACAAATAGATAAACTATCTAATAAGATTGTAGCTCGCAAATAATTAGCTAAGAAAGTAAACAAAGAATATAAATATTATTCTTTTATTTTATATTGAATAATTCTTGTGTTTTGTATGAAAATATCTTTGAGCACTTTTGTCAAATTTTGATATAGAAAAATTCTGCTTTGGATGCTGCTGTTTTTGTACTAGAATTATAAAGATATTGAATAAATTCCATAAGTTTATTGTTCCGTACTATATGAGAATATTTGAATCTTACTGAAAAGTATTCTAATCAGTCTTCTTGATACTTTATATTATTCTACTATTTGAACCGAATAAGGAAGTCAGAACTGATGAAAGATATTAATGAGTATTTTGTTTCGTCGTCTCTTCATTAAACATTTACGTTAATCATTAGCATAAAGGCGTTTGTCTCGCATTTTCCAAGATGTTTATATGTATTCTATTTGTTCAAATGAGTCCTCTTAAGGATGCAGTTTTTTTTATTGATATATGTATATAAAATAGATTTGACGTTTCCTAAAGTGTAAAATCCCTTTCCTTCTTAATGAATCCATAAGAATCCAATTTTATTTTATCATAGATTTTCATATCCAAAAGCACTACGACAGTCTTTTCATAACAACAAGCGAGGTCATTTTTACTTCAGATTTTTTAAAGAGGAATTCTCAAAAATAAAAAAATATCTTTTTGTGTATTTTCTTTTTTCTTATAAATGAATGTTACCATAACAGTGACACTATTTATGAAAATAAAATGATTTAATTCTAACTTGATAAAATGAAATTTTCATCTTATGAATAGATAAAATAATCAATGACTTTATGCGTTTTGCTATATCTAAGTAGATTCAATTGAAAATTTCATCTTTATAATTCAATTTTTAAACTAAACAATTTGATTATCAATTGATATTTTTGATAATAATTCCTGCGTAATTATTCTAATAAGTAATTATTTAGTTAGTGTTGAATATATTTTAGCAACTAATATGTTAGAAGTCTAATCAATGGCACATAAATCAAAATACAATACGACGTAGATCGAAATATTTATTAAAATTCTATCAAATTTTATAATACACACAAATAAAAAGACCGTTTTTACATATAATCATGTATGTTACAGTAAATATTGAAGTTTTATTTTCATCTTGGAAAAATTCAAATAATACGTCATTTTAAATTGCACCTAATAGTACAAAATAAAATATTATTTTTGATTATAAAACAATCTGAAATTCTAATATAAAACTTATATTATTTATCGAAGCGTATAAATTTCTATTATAGTAAAAATTTAAATACCTATTGCTTTTTATTGTTGATTATCTATAACAGTACATATTATTTATTAATAACATAGACGCAGAGTTGCCAAATTTCCTTCTGAAGAAAAACACTTCTGGTATCAATAATTGCTTTTTAAATATGCTCCTTTTTTTCGGTTTTCAAACTGTTGACATAAGAAAGAATGATCTCATGTCAAATTCATTAGAGATCAGTCTTTTGCTATAATCGTCTCTATTTTTGAAGAAAACTTTTTTCTGTTTTTGTTTGTATATGAAATCATGTCGAACATTCGAGAAATGCCTATACAAAAACGACATTGAATATCTACTTTTTCGAAAATAGAATATTCTAATTTTAAGCAAGAAATTCGATAAATACATTGTAGAATATTGAAAATACTTTAATTTATTTAAAGTCGAGCTTTTACAAAATAGAATTTACAAAAAAAAAGAGAGTGTAGATTGTAAAATAAATAGTAATATAAAGCACGAGTTAGAATCTTTCGTTTTTTTCTTATAAGTACAATAGGTCAATGGAATCAGAATATGACGAAGAATAGTCATAGAATAATCTTACATGAACAAATTGATATAAGATGAAAATAAAACACATTCTTTTTATTGACATACTTTTGTCATAAACTTATACGATTGAACATATTTGGATCAAATTAAGCATATCATTGCTAAACTAATAAATCCAAAATATAAACTACTCTTGAG